TATTAATATTTTTAAAAAATTAATTAAAAAATAAATTTTTAAATAAATTTTTCAAAAAAAAAAAAAATAGTGAACAACAAACACTATGCACTACCCTAAACCATGTGGTTATGGGTTTGAGTAATTAATCTGCCAAATGCAAGCACGTATGAGGCCCTCGAAGTCCAACTAAGTTCGGCCCAATATCATAATCATAGTTTAGTTATGACTTTTGACTTTGTGAGATCTACTTCCACTGAAGCAGAAGTGGGGTCTAGCCAGGTACTCTCATTTTGCAGGTTCTGCTACGGCCAAAAGGCCCAATGCCCATAGTAAGTCGAAAGTCCTACTTAAGATTTAAAGATTTGAGCCCCTTTACTACAGAAAGTTGTCAATTTAAGCCCCTAAAGTACATATACAATAAAAATTTAAAGAATGAAAATACACAAGCTTAAGCAGTAATATGTGATTCCTCTAGGCCAGGCAATGGGATAGGATTGATGAACAATGATGAAATGTGATGCCTCATTATATCATTTTGAGAGCTATGGCCATCTCCGTATCTATACACAAATTGAGATGTTCTTGCCAAATTTATTGCAGCTTCAATCAAAGTTTGAGGGAGAAGAGAGGGCTCAAATTCTTCTTTGTTCATCTTCTTCCATGTTTTGTCAATCAAATCTTGTATGTATTCACGAGCATTTTCTTCTGAAGCTCCAGTTTCATGCATGTAACATTGAATGGATTTTGAAACATCTCTTCTCATTTCATCCTAAAAAAATGAGATTGCAAGTCATGCAAAAACAACTCAAATCAAGAAGCAAAATGAGATAAAGGGTACATACCGATGATGTTCCCAAATCATCTACAAGCCTCGATACCATTGATGAACAACGGATTAGATTGGACAATTCTTCCTCTAGATATTGCAAAACCTCAGTTGTTATGTGATTTGAAGAAAGAATATAAGCATGCAACACTATTAGAGGTACTGATACTGAAATGACTGCATTATCAATGTACTCCTGCAAAGATGGTGTGTATCCTTGGTGGTACCATTTTGCCTCTATCAAGAAAGTTTTACATAAATCTAGCCACTACGAGAAATTAAGATTGAAAAAATTAGTTAGAGAAAACAAAGACAAAGTCATTCAAGTTGCAAGAATTAAGTAATGATACCGCTTTCTTTGAGTAAGGAAGGATGTTTATTCCTTGTTCTTGAAAAATGTCTGAGGCAATTTAGTTCATGGAGTTATGCAGGGCAAAAAAGCATAACTTCATATAGTTTGGGAGTTGCTCTATTGCATTGATATCCCACCTGGAATCCAATAGAACAATTGAAGCATGAAAGAAATTATTAAGTTCAAATGAAAGCCACTACTAAGCACAAACCTTTCAATAGCATCAGTAAAAAGCTCAAGTTCATCCAATGTTCCATAAACATCATAAACATCATCTATTGTTGTTATTAGTG